TATTATTATTAGTATTAGTATTATTATGTACAACGTAGTCCTTATATTTCTTTTTTTAAACATTATATTTCTCTGCAAAGAAAGCAAATGACCAGACGAAAGTCAGAAAATTCTAAGGAGATTCCAGCCCAAACCAAGACAAAGAAAAGTTTATTCAAGAAAAAAGCGACGAAGTGGAAGAACATATCAACAAATGGAGATCTTAATAGATTTTCCAGGTCATCCGAAATATGACCACGGAGTGTAAACCAACAATGCCGAATGTTAAGAACGAGAGCGACAAAATAAATACAACAAAAGAAGATATTACAAAAAGATGGGAAGAATACACAAAGAAGTTATATAAGAAGGACTTACAAATAGAGTAGTGTATAAATATAGATGATTACGAATAAGAACCTGAGATCGAAGAAATAAATTGAGCGACAAAACAACTGAAAAATGGGAAGTCCCCGGCTGTAGATAATATTCCAATCGAACTATTCAAAGATACAGGGGAAGAAATCTTGGCGAAACTGACATAATTATGCAATGTGATCTGGAAAAGAAGTGACAGATTTGCAACGCACTATATTTACTCCATTATCAAAGAAAGGGGACAGCCGATATTTTACAAATAACAAAGTAATGTTATTTTACAAATAACAGAGTAATGCCTCAAACAATTTTAAGATGGTATTCGAAGGAAGACGGAAATATGTGAAAAAGCTAGTTATGTACTACCATTTACCTCTGTCTGTAATAGTAGTATAGCATCTCTAGTTTGATATCCGTTGAAAATAGATTGAGATGCAAAGTGACGAACGCATAAACAAACTGTGTGGTTTGCGTGTCTTGCAAGTCCCGCCTGCTCCGTTGGGACTGGTCGCACGGTGCCGGGCCTGGCCGTGCCGCCGCGCTGACATAGGGCCCACAACGGGCGGGTGGGTTCACGCAACGATGCAGAAGGGAAGGGGGGTGAGGGGTTTTCGTAAATTTCACTTTACGACGCTCCTATTCGTCCGATTTGCAAGATTGTCACGGTGTTGGATTCAGGAAGCATGTTGCCATCGCGCTATAAGCCCACATTTTTAAAATTGTTCTCGGAAGTTTGAGAATTAATTTCAAATTCGCGTTTTTGCTAGATTTTTGGAAAAAGGTCATCGTAGCGTAAATTATATTTTAAAAAGGCGTCAAATGCCGTTTTACAGATCGAAAATCGGACCATTGGTTCAGACGTTATCAGTGAAGTAAATTCTCCTGTGATTGTGCTGCGATCTATTGAATTTTCCTACAAGTATTTTTCGATGCATTTAGCCTTAAGGGTATTTAAATACTTGTCCTTTAGAATTAAGAAATTAGAATCAATCTAATATTTCCAACTGCTTCGGCGATGGCGTGGAATCTGGTCAGACAGAAAAACGGGTTGTGGATTCCTCTGCCAACCATCGCACTACTCATATTGCTTCCATGAAAAGCAAAGGGAAGATGAGAAGAGTGCTTCTCCCTCCTGAGCTGGCTGCGATTGCACGCGGGCGCTGCAAGGCCGAGTTGGAACAGCCTGGTCTAATAATATTTTCCACTTCAAAAATACAATAGTCAGATTATTAATGAAGTTTACACTTCACGTATACTTTACTGTCTTATGCCGTATAGTAACCAAAATTTGACATATTAGAGTATTCAATTTAAAAAAACATTATCACAATATCTTGTTTATATTTTTTTAATTACCAGAATTTCACTAAAACGTTGACCATTTTTATATCAGGAACTAGGATATGGTCATGAAAATAACATCATTTGTCGTTAAGGTGCGGCCCGAACAAGGCTGTCAAATTATCTATTACTCAGAATCACAAGTTGTACATTGGATTCCTTAGAGTTCATCAATTGCGCGTATACTGTATATGCGGTGTTTTTACGACAGATAACACATTTAAACGTACTTCAACACATTTATAATGCATAATGTAAATCCGAAGGCAGTTTTATAATTGAAAACCATGACATAAACATTGTAATTGGGAATTTCTTAAGACTTAAACGCAGATAGTTCCTTTCATCATTATTAGCGTCGTGATATTTTTTGTGTAACAAAAAATACTGCTAAATGTTGACCTCTTGCGAAATTCTAAAATGCTCCCAATAACAAGCTGACTGCTGATAACAGCCTCGCGGTCAAAAGTTGCGCGAGTGCTGTAGCGTGGCTTGCGCAAACTGTGGCGTTTTAGGCGTCCGCGCTGACCCTCGATAGCGCGCGGAGGTTGTGGGGTGGGATGGGCGGCCGGGGTGGGGGGTGGAGGGGGGCGTTGGGACCGGCGCCTCACCGGACGAGCAGTCCACCGGACGCGCCATGGAGCACGCGCGCTGCCTCCGCCTGCCGCCGCTGCTGCTGCTGCTGCTGCTGCTGTGGCTACTCGTGGCGCAGCTGGGCGGCGAGTGGCCCACCGCCGACGCCGCCATCCGCCGCAACCACGCGCCCAGGCCCACACCCACGCCCACGCCCACGCCCACGCCCGCGCCCGCGCGCACGCCCGACCCGCGCTTTGTCATCGACGCCCCGCAGCGCTGCCCCGACGGCCAGGCCGTCTACAACAACAATTGCCGCACGCTACGGGGGCCGCAGGGCTGAGCCGGCGTCGCTCCGGCAGGTTCGGAAGAAAGAGTTGGATTTATTTTCTTTGAAAATTCGAAAGTTTACACGACATTGAAATTTGTGTAGTGCTCTATTCTTACAAACATGTTGAAGAATAAATATTACACTGGAATTCCAACCTGAGTTCTGACATGTGAGGCAAACGTTTTACCGCAACGCCATACCGTCGAGTGAGAGAATCTACTTCTGATGCAGTAATGAATTCTTAATGTCGCCCTCATTCTAACGCATAACTCAAAAAATAATATTTTAAAGCTAATGTTTTTAAAAAAAGGGTTTATGGAATGATTCAAATATCTAATACGAAGTATGGATTCTGTAAGAAAGATATGTTCATGTCGTCGTTTGTTCATTACGTTATATGGATGTGTGTGTTGCAATTGGTCTGTCGAAAACATTCGCTGTTCCCATGTTGACAACGACCAAGCGAGCATGAGTGTGAGGTTAGGAAAGTGGAGATTGCAAGTTTCGTAATTTTTCAGTTTGGAAGATGAAAGGTTTTTAAATGCAAATATTAGTAAGTGAATATAGGGACAATATCCAGTAATCGTTTGAAAATGGGTCCCTTTATTAAAAAACTGACGTTTTTGAAATGATATGTTGTGCATGACATTTTAAAATTTAGGTGAATAGTATTTCCTGCAATATATCACTACATGTTTACATCTTGGTAAATACAAAACAGTTCAATTAGATTTTTAGAAACATTCTTAACTTTGTATTGACTGAGAACACTGATTATCTAGCCTTCGAGAGCGTGTACTAAGCCAGATGAAACAATATTCAGAATTCTCTTCTGTATAGTGCATATGTTGTGTTTTTCTGTTTTATTTTCTACAGTTCTTTCTTTTGCGCGATGTAATCACAAGTTTTCTGCTAGAAGTTATTTAAAACACTAAGGTCTTTGATTTAGAAAGAAGTGAGAGCTTTGTACACACCCAAAGTACGTGATTTTTGCTTCATATGAAAAGTATTGGGATATCACTTGCTCATATTCATTGAATTAAAAAAATATAATATTTTAATAATGCAAACATGCGAGGGAAAGGTTATTGTTAGAGAAACAAAATAGCGAGTTGTAAGTTCGAGTAGTGTTTTTAAATATGAAAATAAGTGAATGTAAACATAATGTCCAGCAATCGTCTGACATATGTGTTCTTTTACAAATATTTTGAGTGATTATAATTACTTGCTCCATTAGATTTTAAATTAAGGTGAAGATTAGTTCTTTACAGCACATATGTACAGATATGTGTAATTACCAAACATTTCAATTACATTTTCATAAAAGTGCTCAACTCTGGTTGAGCGAATGGTGATTATATTGTTCCAGAATTTTTAAATATTTTTCATTGTATTTGTCTTTGAGAATAAATACTGAACGACATGGAATAATATTATTGGTTTTTTCGACTTTGTGCGAATATGTAGGATTTCTAACAAGTCTACAGCTCTTCCTTTGATGTGGTTGTTCAGGTTCAGTTAGTTGAAATTAATTTTCTAATATACCATACACATCCAAACTTAAATCCATTTTTTCTCAACGCAATCGTTCGCTCAATTATAATACGTTAAGTAAAATGGGACCAACACATAAAAATATAAACATTATTGATTAATGATTAATGGCGCTGTCTGTATAACTGAGATTCAAATCTTTAATTTTCAAAATGAATCAAAGCGTTATTTGCATTGTGCTTATTTTCGGAGTCAGAAATGTAAATCAACTGTTCATAAGTAAACGTAAGTTTTTACTGATCTTTCGTTCATAAATTGCAGTTAATAACGCGTGACAGATATTATTGATTAAATGATGAAAACTAATGCGAACTGGACGTAAACATATCAAACACATCTCGTTTTTCGCGTGCAATTTTTCTCGAGATTCGAAGATATGACCTTTTTTTTAAAGTTTTTTTGTAAAAATAACGGTTTTTACAAATGTAATGTGAGTGAAAAGAAACCTAAATTATAGATTAAATTATATGGTAGTAAATTAATAGACTTTAATAATGACGATTGTATGATTATCCTCACATTATACGCTAAAAGTTATAATTAATTTTTACTTAAACAGCTCTAGTTATCACTTGAGTTTATTTGCTAGTCATATGATGTATTAGTAGAAGTGAGTTTAATTATAGCACAGGAAATTCTCTTATTTACAATTTTTTCATATTAGTATTGAATTAATAATTTTAGTCATTTAAAGGACTAAAGTATTCAATTAACTATATATGTGATTGATCAAATTACTTTAACCAATAGCTTACTGGAGATTGCGATTTTGTTCACTCATGAACTATATTGCGCACAAATATTTGACATTTTTCTAATATATTTATTTTTAAATTTGTTTCAGAACAACAAGATGTTGATCGCAGCATTGATTTTTGCTGAACCATGATTCTGAATTCCAGTGGTCCAAATACATCTGGATCACTAATGGAGCTTTTGCAATATAACGCATTGTGTAGCTGCTTCAGCCAAATGTTACATTCCATTTTGTTAATCAATAATCCATTTGTATGTAAACATATTAAACCGATGTAATATATTATATTCAATTTGTAAGTGAAAATAATGTGAGCTTGGACAGTGCAAGATTTCTTAGGAATGTTTATAATTGTTCTGTCAGTGTTCAAATTTATTCTCACAAAAACCTCGAGAAAATATAATCAATAAAATGTATACCAAAGAACTCTACCTGATATGTTTACTCTGATTTGCCATGTGATTATTAATTATTAGTATTATAGTAAATGTTTTTTTAAATTTGAAATACCTATTATGCGAAGGAATATTTCTGAATGAAGTTTATGCGTTTTTACTATTTCACAGTATTTCAGTGAAAACTACGTAGGCTCCATTAACCATGTTTAAAATGAGAAGATTATACAGGAGGGTTTACGTTGCGGTCTTCTAGGTCTCGTAGAACTGTCACGTCCATGATGTGCTGTGATAGTAAAAAATAACTATTGCAATCTCACCTAACCAATTTCATTCATGTGTCCCCATTTCTAAACTATTCTGTTAACTACTGATCTATTTACATTGCACCCATCAAGACTGTAATAAATATTTATCAGTCATTATATTTAAGAAACTTTATTTCTGTTGTTTTCAACCAGTATATAGCAAATGGTAAATCCATTCTAAATGCACATTCTATTCCTCTTGTATTTATAAAAGCCACTCACAAGTCGTAACTGTTAGTAAATCACTGGCGAGAAAAAGGAAACACTATAGAGAAATTGTTTTTGGTATTATTTCACATATTTGAACATGTTTATGTACTCTCCCAAATAGTTTTGACAATTTTTCATAGAGTTACAATCATTTTATGGAGTATTTTATTTATTGCCTTGTTCCTTGAATTCAAAGCCATATCGTACAAATGCATAAACAAAATATGGCTTTGACATATTTTCCGATCACAATTTCTTGACACTTGGTGAGTTAGGAGAGGAAACACTGTTATCCAATCAAGATTGGATAACAATGTGCCCCCTCCTAATTCACCAAATGTCAAGAAATTTTAATCGAAATATTGATCAAATGTTTGATTCGTTTTTGTTACAATAGCCTTGGTAATAAGCCGATTGTCACTCTTGTTGAATTATCAGTCAAGTCTCCGACTCAGATCCGAGCAGACGTATTTCCTTCAGCTCAGCCCGCAAGCTTTTGCCGCATCCGCTAAGATCTCTTACATCCTACTCGATAATGAACTGGTAAGCATGCTTACTACAACGCATCCCATTTTATTATTTTCTTAAATAATTTGATTTCATTTTGTACATAAAAGGTCTCGAAACAAATATTATGCATCATAGAAAAAAGTTAGTTCAAGTTTAACCCATCTATTGGATTCCCTATTTTTTCTTAAGTTAATATCTGATTTGAATATCTCGTGTATATACCTCAAGTTGGTGAGGCTAGGTTCTAGACAGTAAGTGTAAGAGTGCAGACAGATACATTGTAATGACACGTGGTAAATTAACATATAATTGTATTCAATGTGATAAATTAAGATGGTTAAGTAAAAAGCAATAATACCAAAACAATTAGCTCTTTTTAGGGTGTATATGTTACTTATGTAATGTAATGTAATGCGTGCTGTATTTGAAAGAACTCTATGCAGCCGCCAGCCATGTGAGAGGTGTCTATCGTTTTGTTAGGTATCCCAAAACTTAGGGAAAATACAAAATTCCCGAAAAATTGATATATTTGAATGAAATATTCGATTTTTTATTCCCCCTATTCTCACTGCGCGTATCGATAGAATTTTCAAACTCGGTGTCACTGCATACAACAGATGTCACATGCGTCAAGAAGACTCCATGGAAGACACCATCTGCCATTGTTTACAAATGTTGCGTTTGGAATACCGACTTTTTAGATATTCTTGGCATATAAATAATGTTAATATGTTATTTCAGAATACTTTAAAATATTTAGTTTATTGTCCTGTTATTTGAGGATTGTTGGTTCATGAGCAGTGCGCTTGCTACGTTTTGGGAAATAACTTTGTGTTTTTTTAGCAGCATTTTCCGGCCAGAGCTAACGTTAAAAATAATTGTTTCTTCCTCTTAGGTTTTTCATGAAATTGATGGGGATCTAAAGATAAGAGGGAATTATCATATGATCAAAGAATTTGCTTTGAAAGAAAAGTTGCTGTAGCATTACCTGTAACTATATATGTGTAGTAATTCTGAATTTTCGTAGTCATTCTCAGGCATCAGAAAGTAACATTTCGTATTCATTCTCAGGTATCATAGTGAAGAAGAGATAAGATCAGGCGTAGCGTATAGAAGAGTTTATGTGCCCGGCCTAGTATATTGGTTTCCACGTAACACAGCGCTAGATTTGCATTGAGCCTTATGAATTCGTGAAACAAAGCATAATTAATGCTTTAAGTATTTTATTCCGTTATTTGTGAGGGTATTTCATGAAGATTTATTTTATTTTCAACACGCTTGAGCTTTTTACAAATACTCCTCCTTTATTTCTGTAATATTTAACAATAATTTTATATTTAAGCGATGGGATTTATTGAATTATTACTGCGTTACTTTGCAAATTTGTTTCAGTGTAAATTTCATTTACTAGAAATATTACTTTAGCTCTTGACGATAAAACTTATTTTAATATACTGCTTAAAATAATTTAAAAAGTTTATTATATTTTAAAGTTACAATTTCTTTATTGAAATTCTGGAGATAAGAAATGTTTGGATTTTTTAGATTTATCAAGTTTCATATTACTGCTTTTGCTTTCGATAGTAACCAGAACGTAATTCCATTGGTATATTATTACAAGTGAAATTTTTCGGTCAAAGTCACAGGACTTTCTGAACTTTTTTTAAGACTATTTTCTGTACTTTACGCTCATATTGAGATGCGCAGGCAAAATTTGGAAAACCGGGTGGCACTGATTTTCGTTTCAACTTCTACCATTCTTGGAATTTCCAAATTAGAATTTCGTATAATAAATCGGGTATGTATCACATTGAATATTATTACTGTAATCTTCATTACAAATAGGTAGTTTCATTCACCTTTTATTTTTGGAGTGTGGTTTTCTTTACTTAACGTAACGTTTTCTAAACTTTGAGAGAATAAAACTCGCTTACTATTTGTCAAGCATAGTCAAATTTATGGTCAGGGACGAGGCATTGTGTCATTGTTCTTTTTATCTCGTAAATCTAAAAGGAGACTTTAAGTACATATACTATTTAATAAAAATTAGAATAAATAACGTTGATACATATAGTTAACTGGACGGACTGATAGTGACATATAATTGTAAATAAATATTAAAATACTATCACCGTTACTGTTACCGAACTACAAAATATGCGAGTCATACTTTAAAGTAATATTCAATCATCTGGCAAATAGGTATTTAGAAGAATCACACTTCTCCTTACACAAATATAAGATCTAGGGCTCCTTCATGTTTGTAAACGAGGAAAAATACCGTCTTTCTAATAATTAAGATTATATTTAACTTTATCACTTGAAATACTATGATTTGGGAATTAAAATGTTTAAATTAGATCCCCAGATGGAATAAACTTTTTTTGCCTGACACGTTTCTCGGAGTTCTTAACGCCTCAACAGCATACATTAAGTGTAACTCATGGCCTTTGTCACTTTTATCTATAAATAAAATGTGCATATCCCAACATTTTCACAAACCTGGCGATATTTCTTTGCTCTTTCTTTACACTCAAATCTCACAAATGAGATAAATATTATTAGAGGAACTAAGGCACCTTGCTGTTTATGTAAGTATAGAGAGATACTGAACTTCATTCAAATCTCATAATTATTTTGCGCATTGCAACAACTAAAACTCATGCCGGAATTCCTTCCTATTTTTGATGAAAGTAAGAAAGAATAGATCATCATTAGCAATACTCAACCCATGTTGGTCAATGTTTCGTCTTGTGTGCCCTTTTCCAGATACTGTCACCAGTTCAACTAGGGGCAGGACTGCAGCGGCACAGGACGCAACTTGAGCACGTGACGACTTGTGAATATAGGTCTTCAGTCAATTGTTACTGCAAACTGTCTATAATTCAGTCGCTCTCCACTGCATTCCTGCAATTTCATCACTTTTCCATCTTTCCTGAGAAAGTCCGCTGCCTTCAACCATCATGTCCTGTTGCACCCCTTCAGGTTACGGGTAAGATAATTCAACTAATGCGAGTGTATGAATATAATTTAAACAAATCTGACACATTACCTAGTATGGAAATATATCCGGCAAAAGTACATACAATAGGGCACTACTTTAAATATTAGATGATTTTGCGAGAAAAATACCCTCTTAATAATATAAATAAAACAAACGACAGCAAAGAGTACATATTAATGGTACATATTTTGCTGAATTGTCATTTTTTCTTGAGTTTACCGTCATTCTGTTGTGAAGTATTTAATTGTATACTACATTGATATATCAGTGATTCACATTTTCAAAGTGTAACATGTACGAAATATATTCAAGAGCTAGAACCTGTACTTCAAAAAAATTTCCTTTATATTTTCCCTCGCTTACTTTGTAAGAAGAGAAGGTATTGTAATCGTTCGTCAGAAACGGGAAATTTTCGATAGAAAAACACTTATCGCGGGGCTCTGGTAATGAAAAACGGATAAATCTTTTTTCCTCTATATAGTAAATAACTTTAATACGTTCTATAGACAGAATCATGTTTTGTGGATACTTAATACCGAAAAATTGATTGACGGCAACACGTCTGTCCGTCTGTAGTCAAACCATTCAGCCGAATTTCTCCAAAATTGTTATTCCTCAATATATATTAAAAGCGAGTAGTATCTACTAGTTTGAAACAAATATTTTAACTTGATCACATTATATGAAGTCTCAATTACATGTATAAAACTTTTCTCAAAAATGGCTCCACATTTTTTTATATAATTGTCCTAGAAACGAGTAAAAGACGGTATAATGACGCAAGTCTCATTTTCGTGGAAATTCCTGATCTTTCATAAATTCAGTACATTGAAAAGTTTTTTGGCATCTTTCTACAACAATATTGAAGATAGATTCTTAATGAAATTTGTTTTTCAAAATAAGGTCATGTACAATTTTTTGGAATATGTAGTGATTTTATGTGAAATTTAGACAATTTAAAACAAGTATTTTTCAGAAAAACAGCATCAACATTTTATTTTTTTGCCCACCGCATACGCAGCAGAGAGAAATGTATGAAATGCTGCGCGAAAAAAGGTGAATTTTTGACAGAAAAACTCTTATCGCCGGCCTCTTTTAAAGAACACGTTAATAAATAAGAGTTGCTAAATTTAGAAAAAAAATCCTGTTAACACGTGGTGTAATCAAAATCCGTATTTTGTGGGTCATTGATACCGAAAATTCGATTGACAACAAATTGTTCGTCTGTCTATAAACGCCACTAAGGCCTAAACCATACGTAGGATTTTTTTCCAAAATAGATATTCCCCGGCCGATCTGGCTTTACTCGAGGCGCGATTTTGAAAAACCTTCTTTAAATTTTGGGGGTACTTTACAAGAAACTTCTGGGACATTATCAAAATTTTCTCAAAAATTGCTCCAATTTTTTTTTTTAATTCCTTGTAAGAAAAGAGAAAAATGGACGTATGAAAGTGGCATTAGATCCGTTCTTCACTTTTAAATCTAAATTTACGAAAATTTATGCTAGTCACGTTACCCGCGAGCTGTACCTCTATTTTCGAAAATTGCAAAAAGGTAACATTGGAAAACTACAAATTTGTATGGTTGTGTGGCGGCAGATATGACGCCACAGTTGCGTAGGCTTTGTAAGATAATACAAATTTGTAGATAGAGATTTTTGGGTAAACAAAATGTGTTCTAAATGTTTTCACGAATAGAACAAGGGACACTTAAAATAATGGAACAGGTCTAATTTTGGTTGATGTATCTGAATTTTCCAAAATTCCAAAAGTTAAAAATAATTCTAGAAAGTGTATGTTGTAGCATTACTAGTTTAATCTTAATTATAATCTTTGTAAATATCGTAAAAGGCTTATATTCCTTATATTTTCTAATATTACAGAATGTACAGAGATATTGTGCACACCTCCAAACTACCAAAAGAAACATTATTGCCCTGGAAAAAATATTTCCTTTTTGTAATATTCTGAGCATAGATGACGGATTTTGACAATTTATTAAAAACCTTTGGCACAAAACCATGTAAATGTATTGAGTACAGAAAAACACAGAATACAGAATTATACCTCAGTCCTGTAACCAACATATTTAAGACCAAAAAATAGAAGATTGCAGGTTGTGGCATTCTACAAAAATTACTGCAACACAAATTATAATCTCTCATAACTCAGAAACGATAGGATGTAGGCCTTTGAAACCAAGTTTTCATGTTCTGGATGGAAATGCGAGAACAGATGAACCCTGCGAGGAGAGGTAGGGAGGGAGATATGGGGTCAGGTGGGAAAATGTGCGGACTAGTGGTGAAATGACGGTCAGGTGGAGAAGACGTGTAGGAAATGAAGTGGGAAGAAGGGATGTGGAATTTTCTGTCAGAATTTTACAAAAGTAGATCTTTGTGAATTTTCTATTACATTGTTGGTTATTAAGCTTTTTGGGGGGCCCGATCTAGTAGGGATGGTCAGAAAAGTGGAGACACCCGAAATTTATTATCTATGTAAAATTAAATAGAAAGAAAAGATTGAAATAATATTTAACAAAAAAAGAAATAAGAATATATTCTTCATGTTAAGGAATATTATAATGGCGGCTATACACATTAGGCCTTTAATACTATACAGCACCCTTCAGCGACTGGATGGTGAAAGTTGGGTTCTGCTATGAAGCAATAATTATGAAACTATGTATTAATAAAATAATTAAAATTATTTCCACTTTTAAAACAATTATTTACAAAGTGCGAAGTTTTCGCATTCATTCAGCTACTAGTATAGAATTATTTCTTTAGAGTACAAAGTCCGAAATTGCATTTATATATTTGTGTTATAACTGTTTTTAATCTATTGCTAATATTTTGTGAATGTATTTTCTAGATTGTCTACCATCTGGCTATACATTCTGTCCATGTAAACTTCACCATTTTTGGTTCAGAAAAAAGATATTGTAGTGTAATTCTCATATATTAATTAATGATATCTTTACATACCAATGGAGCATTTCAATATTTCAAGTAGTATTGATATTTTGAAATAGTTTACCGAAAATATTTGACTCTAATTTTTTCGAAAAACTCATTTACATATTCGAACGCTTTTGAAGAGTTAAAAAACGTTCATGTAAAAAAGTGATATATCTTTTAAACGGATTGCTCATGTAACATACTCATAGATATGGGGAAAAAGGAATAAAATTCCGCAATAGTGAGAAGCGCAAGTAGCATTGCAGTAACTAATTTCATTGAAGTAGAGTAGGCAGTGAATGGCGTGTGATTTTTTGATTGTGAGTAAAACGTATCTACTAGTTACAATTTCTTTAAAAAACTTCCAAGGGAAAAATTAATATTAAGAGTATTTATATAATTAAGAGTACTCTCGCCTGTCAGTTACGACTAAGAAGCTGGAAAATACTTTCATAAGAAAACAGTGTTCTCAATCTTTTAAATATTGGTGATATTTATGTATACAATATTGAGTATTTATTTATACTTACTTTCATTTGATATTGTGATCAATGATAACGTAGCAGCATGGGTTTTTCTGAACCAGATTTTATGTATCTGTAAAACGTTTTATTTTATGTACGGATATTAATCCTTTTTATCGTTTGTGCCCTGTTCACATTACCAATCATTGAGGAGTCTATTAAAGAACAGCATATACACATTATATGGAGTAAATAAAGTTTTACAATTGCAATTTTTTGCACAGGATATTATCATCAAAATCACTCTTCATTCTCTATCTTGTAAAATCCCTGCTGACACCTTTACATAATACATATAATAGAAATACAAAAGAAAATAAATTAAGAACGAATTAATTAGAAACTATTAGGAAATCACGCAGTCTGAAAATACCATGTATTTTAATCTGCAAATATAAACTGACAAATTAGGAACTATTTTCTTTAAAATTTTAATAAACATCAATTGAAGTATAATACAAATTAATTTAAAAAAAATTATTTTAATATCTTTCAGTATACCAAATCTATACACCGCACCAAACTGTTCCAACTCATTTTCATCATGAATATCTATGGAAGACGAGCAAACAAATTTCCTTCTGTGAATGATTCTTACAAATATTTCCCTCATTTATTGCAAGACTTATGCGTTTTATTAATTTTTGGGCGAGGGTCACTCACATAAACAAAAACAGAATAAAAGTCTTGAGAAAACATATGGAACGGCCTCGATAGCGTGGCAATGTTTTTGACATGTAGAACGACAGGAGGTGATGATGACTGTTATTGCGAATTTGGATCAAGTATGAATGGGTTTGATGTACTGATATCCTACGAGTAAAGAGACAACTGAATAATACGTGGTTTCCCTCCATGCGGAGTGCAAGCATAAGGTCGCAGTGCTTTTTTACTTACACTTCGTAAGAGGAGTATGCCGTGTAATTGTGGACCGGAAAACGACGAATTTTTGACAGAAAATCTATAGTAATCTATCCGTAGTAACGAAAAAGTGAATAACTCGTGTTTATATATGTAGTAAATTACTTCCTCTAACACACGGTTTAACCAGAATTCGTTTTGTACATCCTTAATACCTAAAAATCAACATACGGCAAAATACCTGTCCGTCTGGCGTCAATACTAGCGCCTACACTGCTCAGCTGATTTTCTCCGAAACTGATATTCTCCGATCGATATGATCGAACTCGAGGCTTTGGGATTTTCAATCGGGTATTTTTATATTTGAGGGTACCTTACATGAATCCTCAAAACGTTTTCAAAATGTTCTCATAAATTGCATCAAATGTTTTGATTTAACTTTGTCCTCGGATAACGATAAGTACGCTTAATAGAATGGTGTAAGTCTCATGTTTGTTGAAGCTTCGAAAAATTTTCGATTTTTCGACTTTTCGAAAATTGCAAAAGAGAAATGTTTTTTGAGGGGGAGGTCTTTCCACAACTATAATTTTGCAGCTATTTTTATCCATAATAAAACCTGTTATTTAAAGACATTTATAAATAAGGTCATGTACAATTTTTAGCACAACAATAGTTACCTTGAATGTATTAAGAAACGGTAAAAAAATTTGGTGCTAGTCTCATATCCGGCAAAGTATGTATTTTCGAAAATTGAAAAAATTAACATTATAAAGTTCAAAAACATAAGCTGGAGATGTTTGCCTTGTGCAAAGTGTGTTCCAAACAATTGGCTCTTTAAAAAGGTAGTGTAGAGTTATTTGAAAAATCGAGTAGTTTCCGCGTAATGTGGACTTGAAATTAATGCAAATTTACAAACATAACTTTTCTTAAAAATCACAATTTGTTTCTATTTTTTTCACGAATAGAAAAAAGTGTTTAAAAGAATAACGTGAATTTTATTTTCGGTGAACTCCGTAAATTTTCGAAAATTAATAATTAAGAAATAATGCCAGAAATTATATGGTGTAGCACCACTATTTTAAAGGGATAATTTTTACGAATGCAATAACATGAAGGTTAAAGATCCAAAACGTTTTAAAGATAGTTCTTCGGAGTTATTCTGAAGAGGTTTAAGTATTAATTTCTAAAAATAAAACTAAGCAACAACCTATTTTAGGGTTTCAAAGCAAACTTTGGTTAAGAAATATTTTCTGTGTAACTATGAGGATTGCAAAATAAATTGCTTCTCTACCCAAAAATTTGCGCATTACCCAAAACAGATGCTGGCATGAGTTGCGGGATTCCTGTATGTCAAACGGATTCTACATATTATAAGATTGAAATATCCCAACTTCAGCATAAGTATGTATTTCTCCAATATGTTATATTAATTTTCGGTCTTATTCCTCAAAGGAACCAGCGAACGAATCCTCCAGAACTACAGAGCGAAAGACCGAACTTTTTTTCGATATAGGCAATGTATTATTTCTCATGGGGTACGATAAAGGGTAGAAGTTTTTTTTTGGTTTCTTGTTTATTTTTGTGTTATATGATCCATTTTTTTAAATTAATGATTTAATTTCAACACTCAATACATTTCTTGCCGTATTACAACTTTGAGCGGCACACTTGAATACCTCACAACTTTACTTAAAGCAGAGAAAGTAGATAACGCAATGAAAGTAAATTAACGTATCACTAGGCTCGGACTTTTAGGTACTAAAAAGCGTAAAGTATTAATTTTTTATGTGTTTAAAAAGTAGAAAGTGAGTTAAAACAACCAAAATATTATTACCCTGTTAAAACAACATCAAAAACAACACAATATCCAACATTATAATTAGAACGGATAGGATTATTGGGGTTAAAAAGAAAAATATTGCTTAAAGTAACACTAATATTTCAAATATAAAATAATTTTCCATTCAGGCAAAAACTACAAAATTACTTACCTCGTTTTCAGTAACTAATCGGAGACGTAGAACTGTTGCAATGGAAGACAAAGATTGAACTCAAATTTTCCATCTTGAAGCTGTGACGATTATTACCGAACAGTAACTTTTTTTCGAACATTTTAGTTCAATATGAGAGGATGTCAAATTTTGTGTATTTAAAACATCCAATATCACCGGTATTCAGTTTTGTAGCCAATGTGTTGTATGCCAATGCCAAGTTTTGTACAATGCCCATTTAATGTAAGTGAAACTACGAATCATTTGAAAGGCTTCATTTTTATTGATATATGCCAATAATTTCTGTTCTAATAGCCCGAATAGAAGTGTTAGAAATGACCGTTTCGACAGGTCGCGAGCCTGAATTCACTCCACTCAATCCGTAAGGTGCCACAGTAACATGTGATATGATTCATTCCAAACTGCCACGTCTTTCACCATACAGCCAAAAACTCTTAAAGTATTAAAACTCAAAAATGCTCAAAATATTAATTTATTCATATAAATATTAGTGAAATATGTTGTTTGGTCGAAAAAATTTTAATGCAATTTAATGAAAATATTTATATTAAGGTGATAGGCAACTTGGTTTACGGAAACCGTGGAGCACTATTTAAATTTCAACTTAACCTCCAACGCTCAAGATTAAGAGGAAAACATATGTATCTACCGAAAAGTCTGAACCCTATTTATTACTAATTTCCTTCCCTTTTCGGCATCCAAACCTACCTCCCGAACGTCGAGGTGCAAAGGCAGCTGACGGGCGCGCGTGGGCCGGCAGATGCGGCAGCCGCTGCTGCCGTTGGTGCGGGCTGGCGAAGCCCCGCGGCTGCTGCGGCAACTGCGCCACGTACTGCTGCTGCGGCGGCTGCGGCTGCGGGGGCTGCTGCTGAGGGAGACGGGGCGGCGCCCACACCCGAGCCGCTCCGCCAGGTTCCGAGCCCTCCGCCACTCGCCGGGCCCCGCGCCCGCCTCTTTTGTACTCCAAACACCTAAGGAATAAAAATGCTCGAACCTTCCACAACCACCTGTTGATTATTGGGTGTTAACTGCTAGGGTCACGGAAGTGCAGGGTGTGCTGCGTAGCGAGAGGTGGCGGTGTTCCTCTCCCGTTAGAATGAGATCCGGCGCCGCCCCACACGTCAGCTGTCAGGGGTTTCAAAACAGTATGTATCGTGAAAGGACATTATTTACAATTTTTTTCAAAACAGTTCTAACATCTGCTCTATCCTAATTTTGCATTAAAGGGGTAAATCGAATAAATGAATACATGTATTGATCGTGTGACACGTCATTACATAAATTCACTGGGGTGTGTGACACCTAAAATGAATTACTTAGCACAATTTGGTAAAATTGACTTTAGTATTCTTTCCTACATTCATGATCTGGTTGATTGTTGGTCAAATGTTAACTAAAAGACAATACATTGAGGTAGTCTTATATATAGAAAGTTCCGAAATCGAAAATATAAAATACAAAATCGAAAACTTCTCAGAACCGAATCCATTATACAATATCCTTCGTATTATTAGTGGTTTCTAAATAGTACTGCCCCTTAGGTGTGCAAACTACTAAATTTATAACGTTAGCGATATGTTCCATAACTTCTATGGAACATGTTGCTCTTATCCCCAATCCTATTCTTCAATTAGTGAAGTTTGTAGTGCTTTGAAAGCAAAATTTCAGCTCATTTTTCAAAAAAAATTGTTCAGGTAAATCTATGACCGTATAAATTCGTATTGATAACAATGTATAGGTGAATGGTAATTTCTCACCAGCATGAATTTATCTTTTGCGACGATACTATTAATCCAGCCTGGTCAGTTATTTCTCTTATCGACTAATATGAATTTTTTTGTCAATAAGTTTGTGGAAAGTGTAATTTTTATGGCAGGTATAGTCTTTAAGTTCCAGGGAGGAGAAATAACAGTAATTATTAGTGATGTAAATTATAAATTGATACCGTAGTGGTTGAAGAATTTGGAGGACAGTTATCAGAAAAGAAGACTATGCATGTAGATCACATTTAAAGAAATAATAGCGTTAACTTAAGAGAAAATAAAAATGTGAAATGCAAAGCTTCAATGGTGTCAACAAAAGGACCATGATTTGGTAATTAATTGAAATTGAAAATGATTGAAAGATCATGGAAACTGAGTTCACACGAGACAAAAAGTAAATTTCCAGGAACTAACCTTTATTGTTTTCATTCCTTTATTGTTTCCCCTTTACCTCTCCCTTTCCCTTATCGTTAGCCTTTTATCTTTTCACTGCAATGTCATGCCTGAAGACGCCCGCGATTTTTTTCTTCCTGGGGCTTTTTGCAGCTTCATGTGAAGTCTTTTTCGACTACCCTCGCCTGATACCTATCTCCCTCATGGCAACACACATTAAACTTTTTACACTAGACACACTTGCCGGCACCTCGGTCTGTGGTCAGCCGACTCACAAGGCCTTTCTCGACAACACACGTGAAATACAAGGGACAGACAACCAGGCTCACGGGAGAACACAAACCCGCGACCCTTCAGACTGAGGCGCTGAATCGACATACGCTCTAGCCAACTCTGCTCCTTTCAGGTCGGCTGAATTCTCCACAGAATAAAAACACTAAAATTAGATCAACTTCATTATCATACCCTTATCAAAATTGGTAATGAATGCAGTTTGATGTGCCACAACGCTCAATTTTCTTTAATCAAACTCTGAATTTCAAATAGAAATACATTGTCAAAAGGCTACAAACAAGTTGTTTACGCAGAAATAGCGTTTATTCGTAATGATCCGACATGAGGTATCTCTCGAAGTGTAGGCCCGCTGGTCACTGCTGCTGGCAGCAAGCGCCACAAAACACCTTCGCCCGGGATGCTTGCGTCGCGCCATGGGCTGCAGCTGGGGCGAGGACCGGCTCAGGTGAGATCTTGGGAGCCGGCACCGAGACGTCCGTCCAATTCAGCCAGGCCGCGAAGCGCATCACCATGCCGCGCAGAGACATGAAGCGGCGAGCTTGCTGCAACACCTGCGCCAGCACTCGCATAAAATGCTATCATTTTTCCTGGCAAGTTTCAAGTGTGTGAGGAAGGCCAGGTCCCGTTAGAGCAGTGCATGTTGTAACCCAGGAGGTGGAGGTGTTCATCCCTGCTGAAATGTGAGGGCAGGCGCTGACAAAATCTACACTCCCGATTGGTCTCCTGGCATGTGTGGTAGAGTTGTGCAGTGCGAGTGTATGTGTTTATGTGTAAGGATCAAAGATGAGGAAGGAAAGATAGCGCTCGGTTTGTGGCCCGTTTTGTAGAGCAATGTACTGGCATTGGCACTGGCACTGATCGGAGAAACTACAGAAAACTACCAATCAGAGCAGCAGGCCTATAGAATTATTCTCAAGACACTGGCTTACTTGGGCCCAGCTATGAAGCTAGTGCCAGAAATCCGCCAACATCGGAACCCAATCCTTAATACAGCCCAGTAAACGATGCTTCAGAGGCAACTATGTTGCTGCTGTGCTTCTGTAGCCTGTATATTTTTTCAATAATTTCGGTCCGAATGGATGTGCAAACCTAAATATGACTAAGACATAATTATGCTTAATTGGATTGTTGGTGAAGTAGATACCTTTTTATTATGATAAATAAATAAAGATATTGTCAGGTATCAATATTTTAATTCAACTTATGATAATTTCGATCGCGTAGCGATCATCCTCAAAGCTTGCAGCTTCTGTGCCGAAAACAAAGTTCTTTGAAGAATTTTGTTTTCGCAGAACTTTGTTTTCGGCCCAGAAGCTGCAAGCTCTGAGGATGACCGCTACGCGATCGAAATGATCATAAGTTGAATTAAAATATTGATACCTGACAATATCTTTATTTATTTATCAACATAATAATGCGCCTGACGAGATGTCTGATAAATTAAAAATCAGAAATTATTTATATACTAAATTATATGCTCGAATAATAAAAGGCAGATACAAAATAGTCATATTTTCCTACTTAATTCACAATCACTCTTATTTAATTGTGTTCTTTCTTATATTGACTTAAGGATGTAATGAAAATTTGGAGTTGCGGACGCTTGAAAGTGAATGAAAAGTATCTCATAGGAAAAAAATAGCAAATTGTATTTTAAAACTCGGAAGAAAATTGCAAAAATGAAAAATATTAACATAGAATTTGTGAAAGAAATGTACTAAAGTTCAAAAAGTAAATATCTGAATATGATTTTTTGCTTATAGAATAAAAACATTACTGTCGCAAAAAGTGTATTTGATTTTATTAATGATATCAAATATTTCACAATTCAGAACTCGTCCCTTTGCAAAATGCTAAAATGCTCGCTTAACTAAACCTGTTTGAACTATAGAACTCTTTTCATACTAGTGCTTCAAATTTGTTTGACAGACGTGTCATTCCAAAATGCTTCACAAGTTCAAACACATTCTTATTTTGTCAAGGCACACCAATTTCTCCAAAGAGATTGTGTATTTAAATCATTTCGTATTAACAGCAATAACTATGGAATCCGAGTGAAAAGCATTTCCAAAATTTGGTTCAACATTCAACATTAAGACATTGTTAGGTAGTGTGTTTAATATACTGTAGTGTGTTTCTCTTAACCTTATTTATTAAAGCAAAATTATTTTTTGCTTAAATAGTGATAACAAAAAATAACGTATATTAAACAATTAATCTTCTTTTCAAATACTTATGACCTAACTAACCTCGTCCTGCATGATGAATCAGAAATTATTACTCTTGGGAAAGGTGTTAGACCCAAATTAAAGTGTGGCAAAAAACAAGCCGACCAACAGGAAGTGTTGACACGGTATGTGTAAGTGCAACTTGCGCAAAATACCAACAATAGTCTTTTATTTTTAGAACAAATGCATCCAACTTTCCCACTTCCACGTTAGTGGCTGTAATACAAGTAAACGATGACAAGAAGGTTGGCAACAATGATCGCGTTGAGTTAGTATTCACAGCTGCAAAGGCTTTGATATTATCAGAAGTCAAAACACTTGTGATGTATATTTTTACTTCAAATAATAATAATTTTATCTTAAAAATAGGGAAAGGTTAACCTTTGCGACCATAATATATGACTATGTTTTGATAAAACGAGTTTTTGCATTGGAAATGATGAGAATATATAGATTATCTCAGTTATGACGAGGCAACGTTCAATGTCATAATTATGAAATAATAAGAAAAGTATATGATTGAATCTACCTTATTTTTAGTTTTTAATTTTATTTGTATGTATATTTGAATCGATATAATGAGAAAATCTATAAAGTATTACCGAAAGAATCGTTTCCCATAAATTGTATCTCCAGAAGGCCATGCTTTGTGTAGGGTTGTTACGTAGCAACAAGTGGTGTTTGGGCCGTTTCGGGGCCAGTACAATTTCGCGAAGACCACCGTACGCGTCAAGCTCTGAACATCCGAGCAATTCTAAGCTTGTGTGCATCCTTGCGCACAAACAACTCCTAAGCAAAATGTAACAAATTCCAACAGAAAACTTTGCACCCGCAACAACATCCAATAACAACATGCTGTAACCAGGTGTGTGCTGATTTCTGACGATCTTTTAATTTCTTGTATTTTATCATGAGTTTTCTCTACGACACACGTTTAATTATTCATCAATACTTAGTGTAACCACGAAAAATCGTGTATGTTCAATTTCATCTGCAGTACTGTACACTGGAAGGCCTCTTATATGATACATAGTAATAGTGTTGTACTGTAGTACACATGCAAACAACCTTGTCAAAAATGAGAAATTCATAACATGAATAAAAAATCGATAAGAATTAATGATTTCTAATACAGGAACATGTCAGTAAGAAAAGTTGCACACTAAAACACACTTTTCAAAGGAGTCCCAAAAACTTGAGTTGCTACTGCTGAGTCGCAATTCTTTGTGTACTATTTGATTAGTTAAGAATTATATTTACATTACAAACTCTTCTGAGCACACAGGAAACGAGATTATTGGTGATTTCTCTTAGTCGAGATAAAAAAATCACAATACTCCTTGGATGAAAATTCGTACGAAATGCACTTTTATAAAGAATTTTATCACAAAGTGTTAATTGAATAAATCATGTGCTTAAAAACATAAGTTCGTCCTTAGCATATTGGGAAGTTTGGAATACATTGCTGATTGGCCACAGTAGTGCATATATGGCAAAATTTATAGCTGTAATTTATAAGTAGAAAAATATAGTTCCCAGAGTTTCATTCTCCTTGCGTTAACCGAGAACGAACAGTTTCATCGGGATTACACCACTGTGTTTGCAAGTCAAACATGAAACTTATTTGTTTCTGAGAAACACGATTGGCTATTTTAGAAGCGATAGCATAGCTTTTGTAATTAAATAAGACAATAGGAACCAAATATAGGCAAGGGTGGAAGGAGTCAATTAAATCATATTATAACATCTGTGAAAGCAATTGTATACAACGAAAAATAGTAGCACATTTTTAGAGAACTCGTAAACACAGCGAAAAAATATAACTTGTTTTTAAGCAGTTAGTAACACTTAAAGAATAAACTGGTCTGACTCCTTTGAAACGGGAAAATTCATATTTCAATTTATATGGACATTTCATAGAGTACGAATGATGTTAATTTTCTAGAAGGCAGTTCCCAAAACATGGAATTTATTTCAGTGATTCAAGTGTAGGCGGAGACCGAGCGAAGTAGCCTTGCAACGACAGCGCCATGTGGCATTCCGTCTGCGATGGAATGCGCTCGTGTTGCAATGATGGCGGCAGTTGCTGTGCGGGGGTGAGTACACAGTCCGTTGACATCGTTTACTAGACTCTTTCCTTGATGAGATTTGAATCATTCGTTCAAGGACCGTGGCGTGTCCTCTGAGGAAAGCGATTTATTTATGTTTCTTACAAGAGTCAATATATATCGAATCCTCTACATTCGGAGAAGGAAGCGGATTTCCTTCTAGTGGAAATGGAACTTTATGAAATGTTAAAAACACTTAATACACGGACTGTGATAACTATTATAGTACAATACACTAAACATGTTTAGTAAGAGACCTTATAGTAAATCCAATTATTCATGTGATACGATTCAATTAAGATGATTTAGTTTCGTTTAGTATATCAATCGAAAATCGGTAATGAATGAATAAAGATAATTGTCAATGGTACTTGTTTTGCAGATAAAATAATTCTGTGTGATATACGATTCGTGTCACACTTATTGAACACTACTTAGTAAGCGTGAGGTTTCAGATATATGACCACACTGATTTCAGATATCTGTGAGAAATCAACGCAGTTTATAAAATTACAACATGTATAAATGACATGTGGAATGTTGTTTCAAGATAATTATTATTAATAACAATAATATAAAATTTAAAATCATAACAATGTAATTCATCAGTTTCTTTTAATCTCCCTTGCTTTCAATTACAATCCTTGTATAGGGCTGAGTCGAATCCTCATAAACCACCTCGAGATGTTTCATAAACAATGTTTAGAAGAATTGTAGTATTTTTATGAAAAACATTCTGTTTTTTCCTCTCTTTTTATAAGAGCCTAATGTGATAAGATTATTTTATATTTACTTGCAAATATTTTTCCTAAAAAAGGTAGTCTCTTTGGTACATTACGTTGCTAAAGAGTTAATACTACACATAAATTAAATAATAGTTAATGGAAATATTTTGTAGTTCATAATTAGGTTTCAATAATTGCTGTTATGAAATATTTTTGCAAAAATTCAACGTTATGTCATTCAAATAATACATTACTTTTTTGTTCAGATTCCCTAATCTACGACGCTTGTACAAATGAACAGGTAGTCAAGTTTGTGAAATGCATGCAATCAATATTTAAATGTATTCATATCTATGTCGAGAATGGAAAGTTGCAAACATTAAAATTATGAACGCAGGAAAATTAATTTAAATATTTCAAAATGATCGTTATTCTCAATAATGCCAATCAATATCCTGTTTAAATTGTACTAATTATATAATTTATAGTATAATTATAATATAATATATAGTTTTCTCTTTTAGCAGTAATTTTTGGAAAATTTAAAAAGATATAAATTTCAAATAAATGCAGCTCTAAACATTATCATGATATAAAAATACCTGTTTTTAATGTTTGTGAACGAGTGTATTTCGGTAATGGAAAATATTTCCTCACATTTTCGTTAAAAAAGTATTTGTTTAAAAGAGTTGCTTTTTACTTGTGTTCACAATTTAAAGAATTTATTTGACACACACGCACATTGATGAGCCATTACATTAAGACCTTCCCGACATGAGAACAGTGTTCTCGTCTTAAATAATTAAACAGAGGGTTGGCTTAAATAATGAAACATGGGACGTGATGGCAATAAGGCTTACAATTGCAGAAAAGAATCCCAGGCTTTCTGTTTGTAGTGACTGCGTCGTCAAAATGGGAAACGTTGACAATCTTAGTGTCTCAGAGATCAGGGAGAGAAAATAGCGAGTCCTATAAGTACCAACATATCTTAAAGGGCTAGACTTGATAAGTAATCTAGTGCCACTGACGATAGTACATGTCAAAAGTAGTGCAACAATGGGGTAAAACCTCTCATCGTTTACTCATACACTGGACACGGAGCATCGAGTCAGATGGCAAGGAAGGCTGCTACCCAAAGTTCGATACGACCGCAGTTCGAGAAATCACACTGAAATACGATGGTGGTATCCAGCACAATGTCTCCGCATCCAGATCATCGAACACTGCTACGTATGAGACTGCAGAGTCAATGAAACCCTCGTTTTTCCAAGCTCACCACACGCCATCGTCTGAAGAGTATTGTGTGAGAACAACGTTATGAACTGGAGCTTGCCTGGTCCTATATATTTCCATTCCTGATTCATCAAATCGCCGGCGATTGGTAATCAGCGAAGATACTCCGTCCATCACCAAATGCTACTTCATAGGAGTTCCTTGCAGGCACACGGAAGGCAGAGAGGTGCGATGGTATACGCTATTTATGGCAAACGCCTGTGACATTACTTCGACACATCAATTCCTGTTTCCTGTCCGGAACCTAGACCGGGTCCTTTCAACAGGATAATACTCTTGAGACCCATTGCCAAGATTGTGAAAGACTAAATAGAGTAGTCAGTACATTTACATTAATAATCTGAGATACAAACATCTCAAACTGAAATCCTTTTCGATATTTACGTGACATGGAGAAGTGAATTTGGTGCGCCATTGTAAGGTACTACACAATGTAAAATAAGTGGAGGACAGGGGTGGATCCAGGCGATCATTTGGAAGGAGGAGCTTTGTGAATTTTTTGTTAAATAAACATATTTGTTATTATATTGTATATTATTTATGTACTGTAGATATGATACTAAACAATATTATTGTTTAAATAATTACCTAACTCGCGCATAAATATTTAAATAAATTTTGCAAAATAAAGGAAGGTAAACGAAAACTCCCAATGGCCCAATGGTCCCCCTTGGATCCGCCAGTGGTTGAGGACATGCTAAGTTTTTCATACAACATACCCTCAGAAACGTTAAGTTACTTCATTTCTCACCGAGAGGCTGCGATTCTTCTGGTTCTACGTCGTATTAGGTCAGTGGTCATAACGTAATGGCTCATCCGTGTTCACAGGACAACGTAAGGATATAGCAAGGAGAGTACTAAACAATCACATATGACTATTATTGGTGCTGATAGCAGATGGATGATAAAAGTTGTATTGTAATTAAAAAAACATTTAGTATTTCAAAGTGTGACAATAACAGGTCAGTAGAATTCAACGATCTTTAAAATAAATTCGACTTATAAATATCTTGAGTTTGTTTCAGTTGTTTTCGAAACTGGCTAGAAAGAAGTCTCTCTATATACTGCGACACTGAATATTACAATTAGATATCCCTCAAAATAACATGAAGTACGTATTTAAATTCTACTACTTTAATGATAAATTTATAATGGTCAGAAAAGAGACCCTCAGATCAAAGCCAACACTGAACGAGGTTATAAGTATAATAATTTAGGCACATTGCAGCATACATATTAGAGTAATATTTGTTGTAGTACATCTTGGTATACACATTTTTCTTGTTTACTGCTTACAAATTATTCAAAACATAGGGTGTGCTCAAATTTATAAAAATTAAATCAATTTTTACATTGGAAACAACAATAAAATCCGTTCTAACAATATTGCACTTTTCTGTCATAGGAAGACAGTTTTTAACTGTTTTAGGTTAAATAAATAATTAAGTAAACAAATAAAGTAAATATTTAGAGCTGAAATTGTTTATTGTTAAACCATGTAATAAAAACTTACTGAAAACAATGGCAAAATTTGCATAAAATATATAATACATGAAGAGATTTTTTTACGCTAAGAACTATAAGAGTTATTCATTTTTATACATGAAGGAAACAGTTTTCAAAAGAGGCATAAAGTTTCCAAATTCACAAATTGAAGAAACGAAGTATTTCACAGTATTGGCTAGAATTTCTCAACGAAAAATACGTTTATGAAAATGGTCAAAAGAAAAATGAATACTAGAAAATTTAGCTTCTCGATTTTAAATAATCAGGCGTATATTGCTGTAAAATTTAAATGCGACGATCAGAGAAAGAACTACAACTTGAGAAAGAAAAAAGATAATATTAAATCAATCAATATTTTATTTTATATAAATGAACAGTGAACTCAAATATAATTAGATCTGAATTTGTTTATTCACTTAATTACATAAGTATGAATCTGCATAATTTATACTTATTGTGATTTTAGGTTTACACTTTAATCATAAGTAAAGTATGTATTGCTCTTTGTACGCTTTGTATGAAAGAAACGCTTTCTGGATACCCAAATATCAAATATGAATTAGTTCTTATCAAGTACTTAAAATAAATATTCAATAGCATCGTTTTTGGGTGGACCAAAAGCACATAAAACAGATAATTGTTTTTTACCTTTAAGAATTTACAAGTAACCACAACACAATTGTGACTGCCGCTAATCACAACATTATTGAACATTTGAATAATCTATTCATTCTTTATATAAATGCACAAGTACCCTACAGGAGTTTCAGAATAAATATAACGAACGTCGAACGTCGTACGAACTTCTAAGGCATGACGCGGGATCGAAGTTGGTCTTTTTCTGCCAATACATTTGTGGTGGTAAATCAACAAAGTAATAAAGTGACGTTTGTTTCTGATTGGTAGGCCACTCATCGCGCACTGTTGTTTGGCAGTTTCATGTTGTGACAATGTCAAAGAGTCGTCCTATACCTAACAACTACCAATCCCAAACATACAAACAAGGGCAAGTCGCGTGTGTAATTGCGTTATATTTCCCACCACACGTGAATTGACAAAACGTAATCAACTTCGACCCCCTGTTCGCCCTAGAAGTGTGTAACTTTTATTCTGAGACACCCTGAACATATTATGACATGATATTCACACTTTCGGACAAGATGAACTTTTTTAAATGTAGCCCACTTCTATTATTTGCCTTTGTATTTGTGTTGCAACTGCTAACGGTCGGGCCGGATCCAACAGGCAGAGAGGACTAAAGCTCCCTTCACAAGCAAATCTTCACATTTAGTCACTGAAAATATACGCGGAAAAATGAAATATCTTGTTTGCATTTGCTTTTAATTTCTTTGATACAGCTTTTCCTAGAGCTATTTTGGCATGAATGTCCAAACTTTTGAACTTATGAATTCCATCATTGACAAGTCAAAAAATTCGGTTTCATTACTCTCCACTCACTTCCCTTTTCCTTACATTGCTATTTCTTCTAAAATAATCCTCGAACATGCACGAAGACAATATTATGCTATGCAAAATATATTTAATGTTTTTATTTGATGTGACTTAATTACATAATTCATACAAGCAAATGAAATGTTTGATGAACAAATGAAAAGTACAAAACTGATGTAATAATTTTTCTCTTTGAATATATTGCATTTTTGGATTGATTTATTTTATAGCAACCAATTTACACAATATGAGAATTCAGCTCCTCGAGATCTTAAGATCATACGCTTGACTCTTCATCAGTATTACGTTCAAGTCATTAGAATAAGAAAATATGAGAAAATTAAATATGAACATATTTAATTATTATGGAAACTGAAAACCAACGGTCAAATATATATACGTACATTATAACTATTATATTATTATAGAGGATTCGCAGGGATGACAAAGATTTATTTTCCATCGATGTTTAATTCTGCATATCTAAAGAAGAATCAAAATACATTTTAAAAATTATTTTGTAAAGCACTAGTACATCACACAGTAAACGATAGTTTACTATAAACATGCATGATTGAACCCTTCGCAAGTTGAGTTACAAGTACGCGTTGGGGCTATTTAGAAGTAAAATTGTATAATTTAATTGTTCACTTCAACGAATCACTTCAAAAGACAGTTTTCCTTGGTGGTTTGCGGCAGTAGAATCACCTAGTCCTCGTCAAATACTCAGTGCATGACCGATTCCGTGTGACTTGTTTACGAGGTCTGTGAGCGTTGCGTTGCAGAAACCCTCGGAGAAAAAAGGCGGGCGTGAGAAACACGTCGTGGTCCTCCGCCCGCCGACGCCATCCCCCGTTTGCCCTGACAAGGAAGAGTCCGACACCCACCACAGCAATTGCGAGTGGCCATTCGAATGCGAATACAGCTGCGCCGAGCCGGAACCCGAGGTACCCCCGGTCCCTCGCCGCCCATTTGGCCATCGTTGTGTACTTAGCACTAAGTTTCAGCAAGGCCAAAAACAATGATCCATGGAGACGGGACGGTCACAATTATCCGGAATAAGACAGTAATCTAACATAATCGTTAATTGTTAGATAAGCAATGGAAATGTTTATCAGAAATTCGTTGCAAATAATACTGGTAATTCAGATCCCAGTTTCTAAATTTAAAAAATATCCTACATCAATTCGATGATATCTTCTCTGTTTACGTTATCTATACAAATCTACTTTAGGTTTTTCACGGTCTTATTTACAAATAGAAAGAAATTAATGAACATTCTAACATTTGGAAAATATAAATTGTTCTACATATTTCATCTTAACGTTACTACATCTTAATGTTGTATAATTTGTCTTCAATGTATTTTATCGTATCGTATTTTATCATGTTCACCATTCTATTCAATAATAATTTTGTAAAATTTTCATTTTATTAACCCTTAGTGTTGTTTCTGACACAATCTATTTTCTATTTTCTCGTATTATTTGCCTTTCATGTTTCAAATTGTCGTCTTTATACCTGTCATTTTAATTTGATAATTTATTCTTTATTCTGCATATCTTAAGAATAATCAAATTATTTTTAAAAAGATATTTACTTCAGCTCACCGTAAACAATATTCTAAAATATTCATGCTTGATAGAGCCCTTTTCACGTTTCATTGCTTCATAACGTTTCATGTCGTTCGGGTTAACAAAAATAACTTAATTAGCAGTCAATTGCATTTCATTTTGCATTTTTACTTAAATTCAATACATTTTGTTAAAAATACAATAACTTCTTCGCTTTTTTCGATAGGTTCTCCATCAATTTAACGCAGCCATCAGTTGATATCCTATTCTGCGAGAAAATAACTGCTCCAAAGATACTCCTTCATATTCAGGCTTTCATTCTTTCAGCCTTCCACAAAAACGTCAATGTGGCGGTGAACTGTCCACAGCGTACAGAACCCGAAGGAGATCCCACTCACGGCTGGGGCAAACTCATCGAAAAAGATCCGCCGGAGTTGGAGCCCTACAATCCCCCCGTGCCCTGCGGCATCGGCTATCCCTGCGGCTACCGCTCGCGGGGCAAGATGTACATGCCCGGTGGCCCGGGGCAGGTCGGTGGCAGACGGTGGGGTCTCCAACTCACTTTGCCCCATTGCATGAACTCAACGTCTCACTCGGTGTTGCGTGTATTACGAATTGAAGGGTTCATTTTCACACACAAAAGTATCACGAGTTGCTCCATAGTTTTCGTGGTTGCGCTTTCTAATCCAATATTTTATTTTAATAGAAACTGCAGGTTCAGTGGAATTGGTCAATGAGATACAGTACCAATTACATGTTTGTTGAAGTTGTATAATACAATATATTTTAACATCCTCAGAACAGTACAAACATAAGATCAAACTACATGTTGATTAAAAATACACAAGACAGTTTACACACAACAATCTACACACTCAGCAGGAAAAACAGTAAATTATGACAATGATACAACACTTTACAACAACAAACAAATTCCGGAGCTACATGTATATGCTGAGTTGGTAAACCTATATAACCATTGTTGTGTAACGTTGTAACCATTAATTAAACATCGGTAACCACGTGTAATCTGTTGTCCAATTGCATGGAAACACGTTACAACACCACTATGTGTATGCAATTAGCAGAACTGAAAAGAAACAAGAAAAGCATAGGGCAGGGGAAGAGCATAGAGTCACTCTTGACTAGAGTCTTGGTAGAAATACATCAACATCTGCTGTACCCTACAATGCCCCAACACATGCATGACAAATCAGAGAAAGTTCCGAAAAGTGACGCCAGGAGAGCGGTATTCAAACTGGATGAAAGCTGTACTGAAAAATAAAGCATGCCTCATTGTTTCGTACAAACTACATCCAGTCTGGTCTTCTCTTTTCTGTACCGGCGAAAAATGATGAAAAATGATCGTTTAAAACAGGCGATGATCGTGATCATGATCGTGTAGAAAATAAACTTCTATTGACCCTATCCAACGGCGCGGGTGACGGAGTGTTAATTATGGTTAACAAAAACAAATTAATACTATATTATAATAATTGTTTACAATATTAGCACATTCATTCCATATTACACTAATTACACAAAGAAAAATACGCCGACAAATAATTAGTAGTACTGCATTTCATTGACCAAGCTGCAAGAACCAACTGTTTCTATTATGTTATTGACGATCATTAGGATTTTTCTGTTCTGTTTTATTTTCTAGTGGAATTTTTTTAATACGTTGATAAGATTGAAATCAACAAAAATGTATACTAGTTTAATTTTCTCCTTTCGTTTACTTTCGTTTTGGATTGAAATCTTGTTTTAGACCCAACATGTAAATTGTGAATTAATAGCTATATTTTTTATTTGATCGAACTGTAGTTTACTTTATGAGAATAAATTGTTCGTTTATACATAACTATTTTAATAAATCTGAATAATACAATTCACAATGTTCTTTCATCCATTTTCGTTGGCAATCCTCCCAAATGAACCCTTTAATTATTCCAATGTCCATCTTTGGTGTGATTACCTTATTGATGCACAGACGTTCTAAATGTTTTTATTGAAAGATTAATCGAATTGTATGTTTCTTTAAGATAAATGTATTTGAGCTGTCTCCATCCAGCCTACGAATGTAGAAACGTATGATACTCGAAATTCGAAGCTCTGACTTCGACATAAATCAGAGCTTACTTAATGCTTAAAGTACGGTACGTATTGTAACATTCAAAATTACAAAAACAAATCAAGTAATCAATTACTTATGTTCATATGCGGTAAGTGATTTAACCTTCATTGAGAACTGTTTTTGCTGAAGTTTGAAGGTAACTTGAATGAACATCTCTGTAAAGAATATTTAATTGAATTGATATATATTATTATGCTAAAGACATGTTATGAATTTGAGAGGTAATTAATATCGAGTCAAAGATTTTATTTACCATTCCCGTTTTATTTCTTAAACAAATACAGGCACAGTGTCATTCTCACAAGATATCTCAGTTAACGTAAGATGACATCCAGAATTACTATATTTTTTATTACAAAATAAATTTTGAAGAGTTAGTGGTCTTCAACTTCCAACATTGTTACTTACATTATAAAACAATGTAAAATTCGTCGAATGTACGTGATTAAAAATATCAAAATAACAAAAGAATATCAAATTAGAAGATCTCTGAAGAGCAAAGAATATTTAATGAACAATAGAGGAGAGAAATATTACATTTACTTTTGTACTGCAACGGAACACTTCAATTACAAATTTGTATAACATACTTGTACTATGAGAGCATAGGCTTGCGCGGCCAGAGTCAGGAACTACTCGGTTGTCCGGGAGACGCCTCGTCCTAGGTACAGGCGCGAACGTTTCGGCCGCCATTTTGGAACATTCCTCAAATGCATTACGCCTTGAGGAATATCGCAGTATGGTGGGCGAAACGTTGGCTCCTGTGCCTAAGACGCCGCGTCTTCCGGGCAGCCCAGTAGGTAGATATTCCTACCACAGCAGTTGAATCAAACAGCAAGATATTTCATATTTTGAAGCGTTTGTCTCGCCGAGGCGCGATAGAACAGCGAAGGGGGCTGCACTCGTTAGTGTCTCGCCCTGCCCGGCCCGGCCCGCGCGCGATCCGCCCCCGCTGTAGGGAGTGGCTGTACCGGACAGGTTTTCCCGCGGATGCCGTGCCATCCGGTGTGCCACCCGTGCGGGCCGTGTAACCCGTGCGGGCCGTGCTCTCCGTCGCCGTGCAGACCGTGCAATCCGTGCAATCCGTGCGTTCCGTGCGTGCCTTGCATGCCGTGCGACGGAGCCGGAGCCAGAGGCCGCTGCATCTCTTTGGTGGCGCCCGGCGTCCCCACATCCGGTGAGCCGACGCGCCTCGCCCGCCGCCGAAACCGCCGCCGCCGCCGCCGCCGCTGTTTCTTGTTCTTTTCCCTCGCCCCTCACAGACGGCGACAGTCGGCTGTTCAGGCCGACCGTCGCGGGGTCTCGGGTTCGGTGAGCGGCCGACGAAGAGCTAATTCTCCCACCCCTGTCGCACACACACGACGCTTCATGCGTGTCCTTACTACTACTTTCCAATCTTATAGTTCATAATTTTACAATTAAGGTGAATACACTCATACAATTCTCTTTGCCATACGCACAAATAATTGGTCAGGATAAGTCATAAGTGAGAAGGATAAGTCATAACTGAGAAGAAGCATTAGATGAAAAATACTCCTTCATTGAACCAGTCTTATATTTTCGCGATAATCGTAACCTAAGTTTAAACAATTAAAATTAATTACATCGCTGGTGAGGTAGATACCTTTAAATAATGAAATACGGTAAATTAAAGATGTTGTCTGGTATCGAAAAATATATTATGCTAAATATCTTTTCGATCCCGTAGCTATCATCCTCAGAACTGAAATTAAAATTACAGAAATGAAATTACATTAATACATGATTTATAAAAATGAAATATAAGTTATTACACAATGTTATGTACAAAATGTTGATATTGTGTGCCAGATGCGTAAGCAGACTGTGTCGTACATACCTTGCAGCTTCCGAGCCGAAAACAAAGTTCTGCGGGTTCTGAGAGTGTGTTTTGTTTAAGAACAGAGCGTCGGTCGGCAGCGGGTGGGGGCGGAAAGAGAGGTGGGGTGCGGGCGTGGGGGTCGTGAGATGTAGGGGTGCTGGTGGAGGCGTGAGGAGGGATCGAGCGAGCGAGGGCGATTGGAGTTAGAGGTGTACACGTTGTGCTAATTTTAGCAGAGGTGACGACAGTCCAGAGATTTTTTGGTAAAGGCAAGTCATGTTCTATTCTGGAACTAATAATACTGGAACAGAATAAAATTAGATTCCCAACATATACACAACAGCCTCAAAAATCAAAAGGTGTAGCCTATTTGATAACAGGATCATATCGTCTTTATTTTAAAAAAACGCCTTTCATACATTTGGGAGTAATAATCATGTTATTGTCTCTGCGTTGAAATAATTTCAAGATAAAAAACATTGTTATTGTTATAAACATTGCTAGTGTTATCCCAGGTTCCCATTCTCTGGTGATTTGTGAGGTGTCTCTGGATAAGGCACCCAGAACTACTCAGACAAGCGTTATTCTCCATTTTTAGAATTTACGGACCTACTTTGAGATCTCCATATTTAGGTAGTAATGCGACCTTCTCAACCACTCTGGAATTTGCTATGTTGGCTAATTCCTCTGGCTGTGCCTACAACTCTTCAACGACTGTGAGATCAGGCATGTTATGATTCCACCGCAGGCCTGTCTGTATCCTCAAATCTCAAAGTAATTTTGAATTGAGATTTTCGACTACTTTGTCCTTATTGCGCTTTTAACTTTAACCATATTAATTTTGGACAAAGTAATATGAAACTTGCATATGTAATGAGATAATCATACATTTCTTTCACTGGTCTAATGAGGACAGTATTGAGCACATTTTGGGGAATGTAGGAATATATTTTCTAAGAGGGGATGTATATATGTTTTTATTAATCTCAGGGAAATATTAAGCTCTTTTTCGTTATTTGATTTTTTTCAGTTTCTTCGTGTAGTTTCTCTTTGCACTCAACATTGTAGCTTTCTTCTGAAAGTTATGCAATTTTTCTTTTTTAGCGGCATTTTTCTCAGTTGGATATGGCAGGTATTTGTATAACTTTCAACAATAATTGTTGATAACTATCAGATCGCCAATTTCTCTTCTCAAATGATGAGTTGCTATATGATCCGGATGACAGACCCGCTGATATTGTTATACTCACATACTCACATTTGCTCTCTTCATATTGAAGGTTTGCTATTTTATCCTACGGCCAGCAGTTACTATCACTCTGTTAACTCAAGTCATGAAGACGACCAGTCGATACATGAGAACTGACCAGTACGTCGGTTCCTTCACTTTTGGGTATTAGCTCAGCTGTTTAGTTGATTTGTCTTCACAAACCTGCTTTGTATTTTCCTTCCAACAGTCTCGATAAGACTACATATCTCATGTTTGCATAGATATTCTAGACTCCGTCCAAGTGGATTATAACCTCAATCTGAGGTTTAGTACTGAAGTACTTATAAGGAATTCAGATTCCTGTTGGCATCATGCTGTACATCACTTCTTTTGAATTCATGTTTTGTTCTTTTGAAACATTTTTTTAGCAATATTATTATTATTATTGTTCATGTTGCTGTTGATATTTTCGAATTCACAACTAAAAATGTTTCCCATCGGTTAAAAATAAAATCTACTCCAGGTTGCAAGCAGCTTTGTAAAGAGCAAACTAGGGATTGTGGGTTCTTTCGCAGAACGTCGGAAAAAATATAGGATGTTCTCAACAACGCTATAATTTAATTTAACTTCTTAATCATCTGAATTATCTGAGATTAAGGACAAGGTCTTCTATAGATTTTGCTGAACAAATCCTAGACCTCCGTTAAAAATATGTACGATCTGTGATTATGCGTGCTGCATCTAGATGGTCTCGATTTCTAAACTTTTATATTTGTGAACTTCTTCAATACCTAGATGTTTGGTTTGTATGATTGTGGTTTTCGAAATTGAATCTGATTATAGGCTTTGAAACTTTTGACTATCTCACAATAACATGAATCGCAGTGTGTATATCAAATTTGAGTTGTTTAAATTTATTTTTTTATGTTTAAAGTTGATGTAAAATGGTTCAGTAAATCGTTTCTTCCCTCAAGAAAACAAACTAATGAATATAAAGATATGTCAGTTTAATTTTGTTAAAATTTACAGTGCTTTGTTGTATTGTTCGTTCGATATCGTTCAATCACTCTTTACATTTTAAATATAATGAAGGTGGAGATCAAAGAATTATCAATCTTTCCAAAATAACGATCACACTTACGTCATAAACATAATCAAGTAGACATTCATGACAGTAGACGCGTATGTGTGAGGTACGTTTTGCCTTTGCTTTACATAAGATACTTAAGTTAACAAAGTTATTGTATAGAAATGCAGGACTATGAGCCGCTGCTTTTCGATTTTAAAACTTTGCTTTCCTAGACATTTCCATAGACAATCTCATGATGAATTAGTATCTTATCCATTATTTATCAGGAAATACTAATTCCACCAAAATGTATAGTAAATTATTTTGAAAATGTTTAATGTTTTGAATATTTCTATAATAATACAAAGTGTGAATAACCTTTTTTATAAAACTAAGTGAAATATTTATTGTAAAAAGCACTTAAACAGTATTGCTTTACACATTTCCTTATTACTTCGGTGCAAAGGACTTTACAAGAAAAAGAAAGGCAAGAAGAAGAGGAAAGGGAAGAAGAAGAAGGGAAAGAAAGGAAAGAATGGGGATAGCAAATTGGGTGCTGGCGATGGAGACGGTCGCCGCAGAAGACGCGGGGAATGTGTGGAAGAGTGCCCAGGACCTGGAGGCAAACGCGGGAGCAAGGCGAGAGGCAGTGAACTTAGGAGCAGAGACAGTGACGCCAGTTACAGGGACGGGGATGGAAGAGGTAGGGATGGAGATGGGCGGGGTAGGGACGGAGACGGCAGAGGAAGAGACGGAGACGGCCGAGGCAGAGATGGAGACGGCAGAGGCGGAGACGGCCGAGGCAGAGACGGAGACGGCCGAGGCAGAGACGGTGACGGCCGAGGCAGAGACGGAGACGGAAGAGGCAGAGACGGAGATGGCAGAGGGAGGTCGGGAAGAGGCAGTGGATTCGGCAGGGACGGCCGTGGCAGGGACGGCCGCGGCGGAGACGGCTACGGAGACGGCTACGGCGACGGAAGAGGTCGAGACGGCCGCGGGAGGGACGGCCGCGGTAAAGACGGCGGACGTCTACAGCAGAGAAGGCAGGGCGGACGGCAGGAACGGCAACGGCCGTTCGGCAGCCGCACGAGCTTCGACGGGGCGGCGGCGGCGGCGGCGGCAACGGCAAGGACGGCGGGATGGGCGGCGGCGGCGGCCGGCCGGGCAGGGACGCAAGTGCGTTGTGCCCCAGCCGCGTATTCGCACCAAGCCCGCCGTGCGTGTGCGAGGCGCGGCGCGACGCCACGCGAGGCGGCGGGCGGCGGGCCGTGCGCGCGGGAAGGACGGCGTCGAGCGCCGGCGGGCCCGGGCGCGGGCGCCCGCGCGCGCGCGGCCGCAGCCACAGCGAGGACCCGCGCCGCAGCTCCTGCACCCTGTGCCCCTTCGCGCGCAAGCAGGTGTCCAAGGCCGGTAAATCGAGTGGAGGACCTTGTCGCTGGCCGGGCTCTGCCCGCACAGGGTGATCCATGAGAAAAGACACGAACCTCAACCTGCCTCTTGGCCACGGTGCCACACTCTTTCTCATATATACGTATGTACGCACAGGAGTCGTAGTTTGTTCCAACGTTTCCCAATTTTTTTGAAATATGGGGCTTAATTATGATTAGCCTTTCTCGAAACATGAAGTGATTTTTTAAAATATTATTTTCTTATAATATTGAACAAATTATTTCGTGCAAATTACCTTTACTACTATTAAATACACACAACCTAACCAATGCATATGACATTTTGTAGGAACAACTGTATTTTTGTGGTTCACGACAATATTTTTGTATCTCTTTTTTATCTTCACCAAATCAATTCCTTAATTTCGTATTTAACGATTTATATTACCACAAGAGGTTTAAATTCTAGAAACAGACCGTTGTTCGATCAATAATGTAGAATTAAAAATAAAAGTCTCGTACGTAGGTTTGTTTCTTTCAATGCTAGTTATTCATCTACGCAAAAAGAAATATATTGAGGTGAGTTTAATGTCGTTCGACTTATTTCTAGTTCAACTAGACGGTAATTACGTTTGGCCGTGCAACGTATATATGAGAAAATAAATTTAAGTTGCATGGTATTTGGAACTGTTTAACTGAGTTTTTCACATGGGTCACAATAGAAATAAATTCATTGTATAACGACAAGGTCTCCTCGATGTACTTGGAGACTTGCATTTTCAATGTTCCTCACGCGAAAAAA